CGGCGCACATGATCTCCTCATACTCAGTCACCCCCATCTTACCCCTGCCTAGGCCTTTCACCTATGGCCTGGATCTCCTCACACCCGGCCCCCCATCCAGCCACCCCCCAGCTCCCCATGCACCCCACATCTGGGGGTGTTGGGAGGGGTCTCAGCTAGGGTTGGGAGGAGCAGGCAGTTTCTGCCCTGGGGCTTCCTGTGCTAACTGCTCTCTCCCACCCCCCACTCTCACCCCATACCTCTGCACCTGCCCCCTCCTGCCCCCACCTCCTCTAGTCTGCAGCTTCGTGGTCCACAAACGCTGTCATGAGTTCGTCACCTTTGAATGCCCTGGTGCCGGGAAGGGACCCCAGACAGATGTGAGTGCCACCTTCCGGACACCTGGGTTCTCCCCCAGCTTTGGGAGGGGAGTGGGGTCTGGTGAGTTAGAGCGGGGCGGGGGGGGCAGGGGGTGAAGCCAGGATGTCTGGGTTCTCTTCCAGCTCTGGCTGAAGGGCCCTGGTGGAGACTGGGTTGGTCATGTTGCTCCCCCAGTCCCACGCCTGGTGCCCCCCCGCCAGGTAAAGGGGCACTGACATGGCCCAGATTCTTCTGTCCTTGGCCTGGAAGAAGGAAGGAGGAAGAGAGGAGAGAGATGGAATGAGAGAGCGTCCTTACAGCTCACACTTGTGTGCGTTTTCCACCCCCCGTCTGAATGCATGGGGGTACATGCAGACACACACATGCACTCCCTGTGTGAGCTTGCATGGAACATGCAGACATATATGTGTACCTCCCTATGTGAGCTCATAATATGCACAGACTCCTGTATGAGCTCACATGGCACATGCAGACACATGCACCCCCTGTGTGAGCTCATGGCACAAGCAGGTACATGCATGCACCCTCCATGCAAGCTCACATGGCATACACAAACGCACATGCACCCCTTGTATGAGCTCACATGGCACTTGCAGACACACATGTACACTCCCTGTGTGAGCTCATGTGGGCCATGCAGACACATGTGTGCAGTCAGCCAAGCTCACATCCCCATCACCTCCCATTCACACCCCTTGAGCACTTGCACACCTTAGTGTACCTTCACATTGGTGCCCCTTAACTGTGTGCATGCCCTGATGAGTTCACCGTCTTGCCCCAGGGGTGCTTGCGCACTCATATGTGCACAGGTCACACATGCAAGTGTTCAGGCCTCCCCCCATGCAGAATTGCCTCTCACATCTGTGTGTGTATGTGTATGTGTGATCTTCCCCCCGCCCCCATCCCAGGACCCCCGGAACAAGCACAAGTTCAAGATCCACAGCTACAGCAGCCCGACCTTCTGCGACCACTGTGGGTCGCTGCTCTACGGGCTGGTCCACCAGGGCATGAAGTGCTCCTGTAAGTGTGTGGGGAGAGGCTGGGGATGGGCAGGTCTGGGGGGCTGTGGGGTTGTGAGGGGGGAAAGGCTGTAGCATGGGGGCAGGGACGTGGGCTGTGGGGCATGAGGGCAGGCCTAGATATTGTGGGGTGGAGCAACACCTGGAGGCCTGGCCTGAGAGTGGGTGGAGCAAGAGAGGGTGGGCGTGGCCAGTCTGTACAGGGTGGGGCAAGACCTGGTAAGCAGGGCCAGGTTGGAGAATGTGGGGGGGTCTGACAGGCAGAGTAGGGAATCTGGGGTGGGGATGGGGGGTTTTGGGGTGAGGGCAGAGTAAAATCTGGGAGGGTGTCATGGCTAGGTTGGCAGTGCCTGAGGTCAGTGGTGGGCATGGCAGGGGTAAAGGGAGGCTGGGAGACAGGCCCCTAGGTCCAAGGGCAGGAGACCTGGATGGTGGGGTAGAGACAGGGGGGTACACAGAGCCACAGCTACCGCCCACTTATGGTCTGGCCCCACAGGCTGCGAGATGAATGTGCACAAGCGCTGTGTGCAAAGCGTGCCCAGCCTGTGCGGTGTGGATCACACAGAGCGGCGTGGGCGCCTGCAGCTCGACATCGAGACCCTCAGTGGGGATGAGATCCGCGTCACTGGTACAGCCACAGGGTTTGGGGCTGTGTTGTTGGGATGGCCATTGGGTGGGGGTCTGTGTCACTGGGATGGCCACAGGGTGGAGGGTCTGTGTCACCAACACAGCCATTGGATAGGGGTACAGCCATGGGGAGAGAGTTTCTGTCACTGGTATGGCCATGGGAAAGGGGTCTATGTCACTGGTGTGGCCACAGGATGGGGGGTCTATGTCACCAGCATAGCCATGGGTTAGGGGTAGAGCTATGGGGAGAGTCTGTGTCACTGGTACAGCTATGGGACAGGGTTTTGTGTCACTGGTATGGCCAGGTTGGGGGGGTCTGTGTCACCAATACAGCCATAGGCAGGGATCTGTGTCACCGATAGGGTCACTGGGAGGAGGGCCACCAGCACAACTGTGGGGTAGGGTAACAGACATGGGGAAGAGGTCTATGTCACTAGCACAGCCATGGGGTACGGGTGGGTACAGCTAAAGCAAAGGGCTCTGTGTCACTGGTAGGACCACGGGGCAGGGGCCGCGTTACCAGTACAGGGCAGGGGGGTATCAGGGAGGGTCTGCAGCCTTGCTGCAGGCCGCAGGGGGCACTGGAGCCGATCCGTGCCCATGGGCTGGGCTGGGGGGCAGGCTGTCATTGCTGGGATGGGTGTGGGGTTGCATAGACAGGGGCTGGGGGCAGCTCAGATTGCAGGTCCGTCTGCCTGTGCCCTGGGCAGGCTCCATCCCTCTGTGTGGCTGTTTGGTGTCTGCTGCTCCCTGGTGGTGACTTGGTTCCCTCTCACTGGGCCCAGCCACTGTTCCCAGGTGCTGGGGCCCTTGCCCTGGGGTTAGGAGATGCTGTGGGATAGGCCTAAGTGCAATGGAAGCAGGGGGAGCAAAGGTTGGGATCCCTGTGTAAAAGTCTTCGGGACAACTTCCAGCTCTGAGAGGGGAGCGGGGGGTGGGATCTAGTGGGTTTGAGCAGTGGGAGCTGGGAACCAGGACACCTGGGTTCTCTGTCTCTGAGCTCTGCAGCTTTACACACTCCACACTTCCTTCCACACTCTCCCTTGCTCTCTGAGAAGGGGCTGGGAGTTGAGGACTGTTGACACCACGGCCATAGCCACAGCCACAGCCAGTCCTCCACAGCGTGTGGGGTTAGTGTGGGATATCCCACAGCTTAAACTGTGGGTAGAACCCAGGCATACTGGCTGCCAGACTTGCCCTGTTCCAACCCACCACACCATGTTGGACTCCCATTCCAGAGCTGGGATGGCACCCAGGCATCCAGGCTGCCCCTAAAACAGGCTCAGCTGCAGTCACTCCCTGGACTGTGTGGGGCAGGGTGACCCCTTTTCTGGCTAATACCTAGTATGCCTCCCTCCCATCCCTCTCCCTGGCAGTGGGTGAAGCCCGGAACCTGATCCCCATGGACCCCAATGGGCTGTCGGACCCCTATGTGAAGCTAAAGCTGATCCCAGACCCCAAGAATGTGAGCAAGCAGAAAACCCGCACCGTGAAGGCCACGCTTAACCCTGTGTGGAACGAATCCTTCATCTTGTGAGTGCTGCTGGCATGTGGGCATGGGAACACAGGCATGCGAAACCTCTCTCCCATGGGATGTGCACATGGGGGTGAGATGCAGGCATGCAAGATCTCTCACAAGGTGTGTACATGGGGGTGAGACACAGATGTGTGAGAGCCTCCATGGGGGTGTGCACGAGGGTGAAACACGACTGTGTGAAAACCTCCATGGGGTGTGCACAGGGGGGTGAGACATAGGTGTGTAAAAGTCCCCACATGGTGTGCACATGGGAATGACACATGGGTGTGCAAGAGCCTCCATGAGTGTGCACGTGTGGTGATAGGACTTGTGAGCATGTGAGAGCCTCTCTAAGGTGTATGCATGTCATCACAACACGTGGGTGTGTGAGAGCTTTCATGAGTGAATAGGTGTGTGGATGTGACACGTGGGTGTGGGCGAGCCTCCAGCAATGGTGCATGTGAGACATTGCCCAGGTGGCTGCTACGTGGATTGGGCTTGCAAGGGTGAGAGAGGTTATAGGAGTGGGCGTGCTCATGGATGTGACACCTGGCTGGGCGACAATGTGCAAGATCCTGCACATGTGTGCATGCAAGTGGAGACCTGGGTGTGTGAGCATTTCTATATGTGGGTGTGCATGTGGATGTCCATGTGCAAGAGCTTCCTGGAACATGTGTGCACAAACAGGAGACCTGAACATTCCGGCATAGGGCACATGGAAGTTGACATATGGATACTCAGTTGTGCAAATGGTTCCATGTATGCGCAAACACGCACATGCCTGTTTGTGAGTTCCTGGGCTTATGTGTGAGTGCTTCTGCAAATGTGTGGCCATGAGCCTGAACCCCAAGGATAGGTGGGCATATGACAGTTCCCAGACAGACACAACATGTGGGTGTACAAGGATTCCATGGGGCAGGGAGGTGCTCTCAGGAGACAATGGACACATTGGAGGCCTGTTAGCTGGTGTGAGCTTCCCTCTTGCACCAGTGCTTGCACAAGTGACCCCTTCCACCACCCACATGACACTGCATACTTCTATGAACCCTTCTCACACATGCAAAATAGGGTCTCCACATGTGCAAGCCTGTGGCTTATGCAGTAGGAGATCTCCACTCTGCATCTGCAGCTGCAGCAGCAGTAGTAAGGCTTTTATGAGCTGGAGGACAAAAATTCTCCCACGCCCTTAAAGGAGTGAGCAAGTCAGGTATGATGGGTCACCCCCCTCAACTTCCCCACAGCACCCTGCGGCCAGGTGATGTGGACCGGCGCCTGTCCATTGAGGTGTGGGACTGGGACCGGACCTCGCGCAATGACTTTATGGGCGCCATGTCCTTTGGGGTGTCAGAGCTTCTCAAGGGCCATGTGGATGGATGGTGAGTGGGGTGGGGATGGGGCACTGTGCCAGCCATGTGGGGCCTGGCTAAGAGGCATGTGGAGGTGCGAGGCTCACAGCTCACTCTTGCTCTCTCTCTCCGTCGTTCTGTCTGTTCTGGGTATTTGTCTGTGCCCACCGGGTTGTGCCCCCACTGCCTCCGGGTCCCTGGTGCCACCTCGTTTCTCTCCGCATGGCTTACCTTCCTGCCTTGCACTTTGCACACTTTGCATCTGCTTTTCATTTGCGTCTCCCCATTTGCGTGTCTGCCCCGTGTCTCTCCTTGGCTCACACGGATTTTCATGGTCTCTGCCCCCTCCTCTGGTTCCCCTCATGCTCTGGCACCCTCCTTTTGTCCT